GTCCTCCTCCTCCTCCTCGTCCCCCTCCTCCTCCTCCTCCTCCTCCTCCTCCTCCTCTGCCTCGCCCGCATCCAGCCCATCCTCCTCCCTCCCTACCTCTCCTCCCTTCTCAAACCGTTGCCCACAACAACCGGCTTCGGCGTCTCCAATGCCCTCAGGCTGTACGACACGCCTGCTATTTTCGGCGCTCTGGTCTTTACTGGCTTGGGTTGATGCCGTGCGGGCATCATAAAGCGACAATTGAGAGGGAGAAAGAGAAACCGGTGCAGGCCTTTGCGTATCTGGACGCCTCTGTTCAAATTGATTGCCTTCACCCTCCATCGCTTCTGATGGCCACCCCCGCTCTGCTGACTTCGCTGGCTTCCCCTGAGACTCGTTCCACAGCCGACGCCCCTCTTGCTCGATATTCACTTTCAATTCCTCCTCCTCGTCCTCCACTATCTCATCTTCCAAATCCTCGTCCTCGTATCCGCCATTTTCCTCCTCCTCCTCCCTCTTTAAGGACGTCTCAGCGCCTTCTTCTCCTTTACTGCCCTCCCACATTGACCACTCCTCCCCTCTTCCTCTGTCATTTCCTACGTCACTTTTTCCCTGGTCTATTTTTCCCGTCTTTGGTTCTTCCTCCCCATTCCTCTTTCTCTCTCCTCCTCCCTTCTCGTCTTCCCCGTGACGGTCCGAAAGCCCTCCCTCGTCCGATCCGACTTTTTCTTGCATATGCTGCTCGGTGCGCTCCTCATCGCTATCACCACCAGGCCCATCCTCTGCACCCTCTTCCTCCATTGTTGTCTGCCGCCCCTCCTCGCTTCTGTTCTCTTGATGGCCTACTTCCTTTTCTGTAGCGCCTTTGTCGTCCCCTTCTTCTTTCTCGTCCGCTTCCTCTTCGTCTTCTTCCTCGTCCTCCCGTTCCATATCGACTACCATGCCATGCCTCCGTCGAACACCCTTGGATTCTCGTTGAGATGCTTCAAGCGCTTTTGAAAAAGCTTCCTCCGCGTCGTTCGAGCCTCTCCCGTCTTTGGTGAGGGTGGCGCGACACGCTTTCTCCAGGCGTCCGAAACGCCGCACATTCTCTTGGACTGCAGTACTTTTTACGAGCTCGCGTCCAACGTATGTTTCATTTTCTTCTCCGCTTCGACGTAGTCCGGCCACTTGTTGTTTGTTGCACCCAACTGCAGAGTCCTGAAGTTTGTCTTTTTGATGAGATTTTTTTGTTTCAAGCTTCCACTCCGTGCCCTCCATTGCGATGTCTATTTCCTCACACCTCTCGTGTTTATGCTGGTACATTGCGATCAGGACTCTTTTATTGCCGAGAAACCCATCATCGTTCGCATCTCCTTGCCAAACGTCTCGTTTCCGGCGTCTTGGTGAGTCGGTACTGACCTCCCCCCTTGACCAAACCCATTCCGATGTACGGTTCGGATGAGCAGAGCTACCAGTGTAAAACTTTTTGTTTTCATGACAAAAACCGTCACAAAAAAGTTTCTCACATCGGCTATCGAAGTGATGCGGCCGCCATCTCACGGCATTAGGCGTACTTGTCTCTGTGTGGCCAGGTGCAATGTAACCGTTACTTGCCGTAGTTGGAAAAATGTTACCCATTGTGCCTGCGCTCACGGTGGACCGAAGACAATGAGTGAAACTTGTTTGCCTAGATACTATGGAGGCGTACACCCGGTGCATGATCCTCAAGGCAGTCTGCGCACGACAAAACATCCTCAAAATGGACCGAAAAGCGGCTTGGAACAGGAACAACGCGTTGCCCCAGCCTCATGGTAGGGCAGCGACTGGGTATCATATCTGTCACGTACGCCTGAAATTCTGCAGCCTGATTTCTCGTTGCCCGACTGCTGGCCACGATGCTTTCGTTGAACATGTGAGGGGATGTAGACTGGATGCAGCTTGGTGGATGCCTTGGCTAAGGAGTCAATAAAAAATGTAGCTTTTTCAAGAATGCACGGGTCGAAGCGCAATCAGAGTATGCAGGGTGGTGCTTGGTGAATGTTGAAAAAGATGTTCTCGTCGTCTTGTCTCTGCTATAACTCCCTTACACGCTCTTACAACACCGATACAGGCTTCATTTGGTGCGCTTTGAGTCCCGTGCGAAGTCCTTGATAACTTTGCCCCCTTAAGCGGAAGCCTTGGTCTTGTGTTAAGGTCGCTATGAGTGGAGCATCGGGGAATGGGGCAAACCCTGCTGTACAGCAACCTTACATCCCCACCGATGCTGAGCAAGCGGAGCACTTACAAAACTTGATTAGAAAATTGAAAGACTTTTGGGTAGAGCAATTGGCAGAAATGGAGACGTTGAGTCTCGCATCTGAACAGGTAGGTCCTTTCAGGGGCTTCGAGCGCAGGAGATGAATTCGACAGGTCTCATCACTGTTGGTGCTGGATTACGAATATTTTAGCACAAAAATTGCTTCTAGTCAGGCACTCATGTGCGTCGAGCGTATAGTTTTGTCTGACACTCCTGCACTTGCATGATAGGACTTCAAAAATTACATTGATCTGCCCTTGGCGCGGATCAAACGCATCATGAAAAGCGACGAAGACGTGCACATGATCAGTGCGGAGGTGCTGGTGCTCTTTGCAAAGGCTTGTGAGATGTTTATCCTTGAGCTGACGATTCGCTCCTGGTGCTACAGTGAACGAAGCAAGCGTCGTACGGTAGGTTATTCTTTTTCCTTCGCTTATCCCCGCTCTTTTTTCCTAGTCCCGGTCGCGCGTTGACCGCAACACCATGTCCAGTGTATCGATATCTCACGGTTTGGAAAGAAGAAGTCTTGCTCTCAGCGTCTTCGACGAAACCTTGTGATCGACGCCAATCGAAAATGTCTTTCGGATCCCCCTTTTTCTCTCTCCCGATGCCCCCCCTCGGGCACGCACTCGCTTTTCCCTTCGCTCCGCAGCTGCAACGGGAAGACATCCAGGCAGCCATTGCCAACGCCGACATATTGGACTTTCTCGTAAATATCGTTTGAGGAGACAGAATGGAGGAGGTCGCGGAAAAAGGGGAGCGCTGGGAGGGTGCAGTATGAAACATAGCCGTTAATGATCCATGGAGCGGCCCCG